CAATACGTCATCAATAGATAGATGTCTGTCTGTCTGTTTACAGTCTGTCTGTCTTTCGTCTGTCTGTCTATCAATACGTCATCAATAGATAGATCTATACAGGGTGATCAGATCAAAGTGATGGGAGGAGATTATTTTCAGATCTCATCAAAACATAAACAATCCTTTCAAACTAAAAGCCTGGTTCAAAAAAACGTAAACAAAAAGTAGAGTAAACTAATAGTTGTGGGCGTGGCCTTTGTGACGATCGATAAAGTTATTGATTAGTTTGTGACAAACAGCTCCGATCTGAAAATGTTTTATTACAAATTGACATCACAGAAACATTAAAATGACTTTACATTTATATTTTATATATTAATCATTTCTTTATCTGGGTTCCCTCCGTGTTCTCCGGCTTCCTCCCACAGTCCAAAGACAGGCAGCTTAGGTTATTTGGAGACTCGAAATTGTCCGTAGGTGTGAATGTGCGCGTGAATGTTTCTGTCTCTATATGTGCCCTGCCATAAACTGGCGCCCTGTCCAGTGTAGTGTACCCTGCCTTCGCCCAATGTCAGCTGGGATCGGCTCCTGAATAGGATAAGCCGTTTGGATAATGGAATTTCTTTATTCATAGAGTGAGCAGGTTATTGATGACGTCGTTAGAAGAACATTTGTGTCACAGAATTTTTTAAATTTTTTAAATTTATTATACTATATTGATCCCTTTAAGGGGGAAATTTGTCTGTGCATTTGACCCATCCCTGTATATAGGGAGCAGTGGGCTGCCATTGACAGGCGTCTGTCAATGGGGAGCAGGTAGAGGTTCAGTGTTTTGCTCAGGTACACTTCGTCATAGCACACGTAGCAGCCAAGGATCGAACCGCTGACCTCGCGGTTACCGGACAACCCTCGCTACCCCATGAGCCATGGTCGCCCCTAATAATAAACTCTTTATTGTTACAGATTAAGAGAATACAACAGTGGTGTAACAGTGAACTGTGTCCTCCACCAGAGGGCGCTGTTATCATGTCTCCCTCCGCCCCGCTCTCATTGGTCGTCCTCCTCCTGAGTCTGTGCTCCTCTGAGCCCGTTGGTCCGTCGGTGGAGGATCTGACCAATAGGAACGCAGACTTTGCCACCCGACTGTACCGAGCCGTCTCCAGCCGGACCGACGAAAACGTCTTCCTGTCTACGTTCACGCTGTCCGCCGGGCTGCTGGCACTGGTGAGCGCCTCCAACGGGACGACCCGGGACCAGCTGCTGCAGGGACTCGGCCTGACTGGACTGGACCCGCAGACCCTCCCAGGTAGGTCTGAGGTCTAGAGGACGGTTAGTATTGTGACTCATACCTGTGAGACTACAGGCTCTGCTGTTCTTAGACCTGTTTCAGAGTCTGAGGACCACCGTCCAACAGGAGAACCTGAAGCAGGGCGTGGCCATCCTCCCGGCTCAAGGCTTTCCAGTGTCGTCTTCCTACCAGGACCTGGTTCAGACTAAGTTTGGGGGGAACGCTCAGAGTCTGGTCTACACGGTGCCGCAGGAAGCCACTGACACCATCAACCGCTGGACCCAGGAGCAGACGGGAGACCAGGTCCTGGAGCTGGAGACAAACCTGGACCCAAACACACAGCTGCTGCTGGCCACCAGCGCCTTCTTTAAAGGTACGCGTCTAACGCTGTGTTCATAACTAACACAAGTTTATTACAGATGTATGAACACTAAATAAACATGTTTATTACAGATGTATGAACACTAAATAAATAATAATAATAATAATACATTTTATTTATATAGCGCTTTAAAAGGCACTCAAAGACACTTTACATGGTAAAAACAGAAACAATAAAAGCATTTATAATAAAAACAAAATCTACAACTTAACAGTAAGAAAAAAAAATAAACACGAAGAGAAAGAAAACATACATGACTGACTTTAGAGGTTAAAAGCAGATTTAAATAGGTGAGTTTTAAGTGCAGTTTTGAATGTGGCGAGTGACGGAGAATGTCTGAGGTGTTGGGGCAGGGAGTTCCAGAGGGAGGGGGCAGCAACAGAAGGCCCTGTCCCCCCAGGTCCGATGCTTGGACAGAGTAGGGGGGGTAAGGAGGTTGGCGTCGGCGGATCTGAGGTTGCGGTTGGGAGTGTGATGTTGCAGGAGGTCTGAAAGGTATGAAGGGGCGAGGTTGTGGAGGGCTTTGTAGGTGATGAGGAGAATCTTGAACTGGATTGTTTGCTGTATGGGGAGCCAGTGGAGGTTTTGAAGGACTGGGGTGATGTGGTCTCTGGTGCTGGAGTGGGAGAGCAGACGGGCAGCTGAGTTTTGGATGTATTGTAGTTTATTGATGATTTTGGTGGGTGAGCCGTACAGGATGCTGTTGCAGTAGTCCAGTCGAGAGGTGATGAAGGTGTGGATGAGTGTTTCAGCGGCTGCGGAGGAGAGGGAGGGGCGGAGACGGGCGATGTTTTTGAGATGGAAGAAGGCGGTTTTTCTGATGTGATTGATGTGTCGTTCATAGGAGAGAGTTTGATTGAAAATGATCCCAAGGTTACGGACATGTGTGGAGGCAGGAACAGTGGTGCCATCGATGCAGAGGGATAAGTTATGGAGGGATTTGTTTAATGATTTGGGGCCGATGATGAGGACTTGAGATTTGTCGGTGTTGAGTTTGAGGAAGTTTGCTTGCATCCAGGTTTTTATATCTGTTAGGCAGTTGGTGATGGTGGAGTGGATGGTGGGGGTGATGGACTTGGTGGAGATGTAGAGCTGGGTGTCGTCAGCGTAGCAGTGGAACTGGAGACCATGATGGCGTATGATGTCGCCAAGGGGGAGCAGGTAGAGGATGAAGAGGAGGGGACTGAGTACTGAACCTTGGGGGACACCTTGAGAGACTGGGACTGTGTCAGACTTTAATTTGTTGATGCTGATGAACTATTCATGGTCAGAGAGGTATGATTTAAACCAGGAGAGGGCTGTGCCAGTGATGTGGAGGGAGGACTCGAGACGGGAAAGGAGGATGGAGTGGTTGATGGTGTCGAAGGCTGCGCTGAGGTTGAGCAGTATCAGGATGTTGAGGGAGTGTTCATCAGAGGAGAGGAGGAGGTCATTGGTGACTTTGATGAGGGCAGTTTCTGTGCTGTGATGAGATCTGAATCCGGATTGAAATAGTTCATACAGTTGGTTTGAGTCCAGGTGGGTTTTCAGTTGATGGGCAACAGTGCGTTCCAGTATTTTAGACAGAAAAGGGAGATTGGAGATGGGTCTGTAATTGTTGTGAATGTCGGGGTCAAGGCCAGGTTTTTTGAGGATGGGTGTGACTGAGGCGAGTTTGAGGGCGGGAGGGACGGAGCCAGTAGACAGGGAGGAGTTGATGACAGAGAGGAGGTGCGGGCGGAGGGCCGGGAGACAGGCCATAACTAAAGTGGAAGGGATAGGGTCGAGGTCACAGGTCGGAGTCTTCATGCCAGAGAGTGATTTATTGAGATCCGAGGGGGAGATGAGAGAGAATCGGTAGAGTGACCGGTCAGTTAGTGGAGGATTTGCAGATACAGGGTTGGATGAAGCAGGGCTGGAAGTGGCCAGTTGGTTGTAGATGGTGTCAATTTTAGCTTTGTAGAACGTCAGGAAGGAGTTGCATTTTTCTGCTGTGGAGGAGTGGGAGAGGTTGTCCATAGGTTTGAGGAGTTTGTTTATTGTGGAGAAGAGGACCTTTGGGTTGGCAGAACCAGAGTGGATGATGCCAGATTAGTAGGTGGAGAGAGCAGAGTTTAGAGCCAGTTTGTATTGCTGTATGTGTTCCTTGTAAGCCAGGGTGTGAACTGTGAGGCCGGTTTTTTTGGAGAGTCGCTCTAGTCTGCGTTTCCGGGATTTCATGAGGCGGAGTTCAGGGGTGAACCAGGGAGCAGTGTGGGTGAAGGATACAGTTCTGGTTTTGAAAGGGGCAAGCTGATCAAGGCAGGAGGATAGTGTGTTATTGTAGCGGTTGACCAGGTCTGAGGGGGAGGGGCTAAGGGAGGGGGTGATTGTGGAGAATTTTTCAGTGAGACAGGCTGACAGGGATGAGGGGCAGACAGACTTGATATTTCGGAGAGTGATGGTGCGCGTGAGTTTGGGTTCTGGGATGGGGATGTCGATCTCCATGATGATGGCTAGATGGTCGGAGATGGTGAGGTCATAGCCGGAGAGGTGGTTGATGGTGATTTCAGTGGAGCAGACCAGGTCCAGGATGTGACCACGGTTGTGGGTGGGGAAGTTGATGTGTTGAGTGAAGTTGAAGCATTTAAGCAGGTCCAGAAATTCTGTGGCAGTTTTACAGTCTGAGGAGTCGATGTGGATGTTGAAATCACCAAGCAACAGGATGGAAGGTGAGACGGAGCAGAGCTGGGTGAGGAATTCAGATAGGTCGGAGAGGAAGGCAGAGTTGGGTTTGGGGGGGCGGTAGATAATTGCAATGACCAGGGGTTTAGGACCAGAGAGTTTGAATGAGAGCTGTTCAAATGAGGGTGGACTTTCGATGTTAGTCAGGCTGGTTTTGATGTGTTGGCGGTGAAGAGCAGCAATTCCTCCACCGCAGCCATCAGGGCATGGTTCATCCAGGTAATGATATCCAGTTGGGGTGGTTTGATTGAGTGCGTAGTAATCCAGGTGTTTTTGCCAAGTTTAAGTGAGACAGAGGATATCAAGGTTGTTGTCAATGATGAATTCATTGATGATTGGGCTTTTGTTGCTTAGTGACCGGGTGTTGAACAGAGTAAGCTTCATCGAGTGTTTTGTGATTGGTTGTGAGGTTTTGGGGAGGATTCTGAGGTTGGCTGCATTTACGTGCTGTTTGGTATGATGACGTAATGAGGGAGTGGTTGTACGCCGGTGCTGGGTCCACAGAGACGAGATGGAATTGACAGAAGTGGGGTTGTAGATGATGAACTTGTGCTGGGAGCCGATATGAACATCACTGGGATGGATGTAGCTGAGGTTGTTTTTGTTGATGGCTTTGTGAATGCAGTGTGAACGGGGCAGCCTCTCTGTCACAATAGTCTGAATGGGGAGAGCTGCAGCTGAAGGGGTTGATGACATGGAAGGCCAGGAGGGGGAGCAGTCACGGGAAACTGTGCTCTGAGGTGGCAGCGTAGAAGAAGAAGGGGCGTGTGTGGAAAGTAAATAGTCAGTCATGTGGACAAGAGTGTACAGCATGCTGTAAATTAGCCGCTAGCAGGCGGCTACCCAGCTTATTAAAATGAATGCCATCATTCTTAAAAGAGGAAGAGCGGTCCCAAAACAGATTCAAATTGTCAATGAAGCTCACGTTGTTGGTCCTGCAGGCGGCCTGGAGCCAAGTGTGGAGGCTGAGGTCTCTGCTGAACTGCTGTGATCCACGGCCGAGTGTTGGAGTTGGACCACTGATAAAAGCAGACAGTCCACAGTTGTTTAAGAAGTGTAGAAGATTTTTAAAATCAATCTTGGTCAACTCAGACTGGTGGAGGGCTGTATCGTTGATTCCCACATGAACGATAATTCGCCGAATGGAAGACGGGAGGGCATGCAGCAGGCCAGGCAGTTTCAGCAGGATGTCTTGAGCCGTTGCTCCGGGGAAACAGTGTGTCTCCGCGTTGAAGAAACGGGTATTCCTGATTATGGAGTCCCCGACTATCAGTGTCGTCGGGGCGAAGAGGGGACGAGGCGACAACACTGCGCGTGTAATACGCGTGGATGGAGGCGAGGATTTAACCAGTCGTGGCGGAGTGGACGAGCAAGGACTGGGAGAACGGGGGACCGAAGCTCGCCGCGGTGCTGGTGTAAAGCACGGTATGGAGCGGCGAGTCCTGGGGCGAGAGGAGTGCTCAGTAATGACTGTTGTAGGGATGTCGGGGGACCCGGGACTGTGGCTCCCTTGAGGCGGCAGCTGGGATGGTGTAGGAAGCTGGGAGTCCCTAGCCAGAGGAGGGAAGTCGTGGAGGGCAAGGGTGTCATATTTGTTCTTCAGCTGGACATCGAAGTTATGGGGTGTAGGAGAGGGACGTCTCCCTATCCGGCTGCTGCGAGCACAGACCAGGTCCAGGGCTCGTGATGGGATGGAGTGGAGCTGACCAGGGCTTTAGGCTTAGCTCCGAGCCGTAGCCAAGAAGCCTCAGGAGCTGTGACCGGAGGAGGGGCGCGGCAGCAGGACTGGAAGCGATGGAATCATGCACACGGTCGCTGGCTGTGTCGGTTTGTGCTGGACCGAAGATGATGGTGTCCGTGAGGTTCTCGGCATCCTGGATCCTGTAGAGCACACGTGTCAAACTCAAGGCCCGCGGGCCGAATCCGGCCCGCCACGTCATTTTATGTGGCCCGCGAATCCACCAGCAAAAAAAATAAAAAATAAAAAAGTTTTTTTTTTTAAATTTATTTTGGAAAAAAAAATTTAAGTTAGACTTGAAAATAAAAATATCCCCATGGTCGAAATTATGAGATAGAAAGTTGAAATTATGAGATAGCATGTTGTCTGTGACATTACAACAGGTGGACAGGAGAGGGAACAGCCCGTAAAGCGGTTTTCCAACAAGTGATTGAGTTGAAAAAGACAAATAATCCCAAAATGTCCACGAAGAGAAAAATTGATGCAGAGGGAAGAAGATGTAATTTAAGATCGGAAAGCGAATACATGTCTGTGCTTCAGGGAGAAAAACAGGTCTGTCTTCTGTGTTATGATGCGTGTCGGTGATGAAGGATACAATTCACGTCGGCATTTTGACACCAAACACGGAGCTAAATTTAGCCTCCAAGAAAAACATCAAATTGTCCAAGAAT